CAGCGGGTGAGGCAGGTGCAGGGATGGGGGGAGGGGAGGGGCACGGAAACGTGTGGTGGGACAGGGAGTACAGATAAGGAAGAGAACTTAGAATTTCAATGTGCACTTGTGTTCACAGATGACAAAGAAAATTAAAAAACTGGAAAAAGAAACAATAATATGGCGTACCAAATGGGAAAACAATAATAAAGCACTTCTGCAAATGGCTGAAGAGGTGAGATGGTTTCCTGCGACTAAGGTGTAGTGTTAGTCATGGGGACTCCTTGAGTTCAGGTACCTATCAGGGCCAGGACGGGTGCTGTAACACTACTGCCATAGCTGAGGACTCCAGCCTGCATTGGGGCAGGGGTGGGGATACGTTGCTGGGTAGAATCTGTGACTTCTTTCCTGGCAGTTAAGTTAGGGACAGGGCCCTGAGTGAGGGGCTGAGCTTCCTACCACCCAGTTAATCAGCCCAGGTTTGTGTCGGAGATAGCCCAAAACATTCAGATTTTGCTCTTCTATAGCAGTGATTTCTGAAACTTGAGCTTACATCAGGCTCCCGCTTGTTAAGACCAGGATTGCTGGGCTCCACCCAGAGGCTCTGAGTCACTAGTTCTGTGGGGGTGGAGGCAGATAACTGCCTTTCTAACAAGCATGCAGGTGATGCTGATGCAGCATGTAGGGCCTTTCTAGCTTGACTTATTAGGCTTTCAGAAAAGCATAGTACTTTTTGCCTGTTTTATGTAACATTTCAGGAAAGAACTAAAATGCTGGGGCACATGTGTATAAGAATCTTGTTCTCATCTAAAAATTGGTAGAGGAGAAATCTATGTAGACATGAGCCATATTCAGTTTTTATTTAGGCCTTTGTTTTGTGTCTGCTAGTCTTTGTGATGTCTTGAATTTCTTTAATAGTTCAATAGGAAATATCTTAAAAAGTTTATCTTTGGCCAGGCGTGATGGCTCATGCCTATAATCCCAGCACTTGAGGAGGCCGAGGCAGGCGGATCACTAGGTCAGGAGTTCAAGACAAGCCTGGCCAGCATGATGAAACCTGTCTCTACTAAAAATACAAAAATTAGCTGAGTGTGGTGGCACATGCCTGTAATCCCAGCTACTCAGGAGAATCACTTGAACCAGGCAGTCAGAGGTTGTGGTGAACCGAGATCATGCCACTGCACTCCAGCCTGGCAACAGAGTGAGACTGTCTCAAAAAAAAAAAAAAAAAAAAAAAAAAGTGTGACAAAAGGAATTTAATTGTGTCACCCTAAAACAATATCATGATGCTGAATCTCATTCGGTATACTTATGAGTGCAGTCATGCTGGCTAGCTAGAATGGTAGGAGGCTGAAGAGATGGAACATGTTCCTTAGAGATGGAAAAGTGTCCAATATGACTCAGCTGGCTTGATTTTTTTGTACCTGATTGATATTTAACAAGGTTACAGGCCGGGCGCGGTGGCTCAAGCTTGTAATCCCAGCACTTTGGGAGGCCGAGGCGGGTGGATCACGAGGTCGAGAGATCGAGACCATCCTGGTCAACATGGTGAAACCCCGTCTCTACTCAAAATACAAAAAATTAGCTGGGCATGGTGGCTCATGCCTGTAATCCCAGCTACTCAGGAGGCTGAGGCAGGAGAATTGCCTGAACCCAGGAGGCGGAGGTTGCGGTGAGCCGAGATCGCGCCATTGCACTCCAGCCTGGGTAACAAGAGCGAAACTCCGTCTCAAAAAAAAAAAAAACAAAAAAAAACCACAAGGTTACAGAAATCCTCTTTTTTCTTATAGAAAACAGTCCGTGATAAAGAGTACAAGGCCCTTCAAATAAAACTGGAACGGTTAGAGAAGCTGTGCAGGGCTCTTCAAACAGAAAGGAATGAGCTCAACGAGAAGGTGGAAGTCCTGAAAGAGCAGGTCTCCGTCAAAGCGGCTGACAGGGATTTGGCAACACCTGTGATGCAGCCCTGTGCTGCCCTGGATTCTCACAAGGAGCTGAACACTTCCTCGAAAAGAGCCCTGGGAGCGCACCTGGAGGCTGAGCCCAAGAGCCAGAGAAGCGCCGTGCAAAAGCCCCTGTCCACAGGCTCTGCCCCGGCCATCGAGTCAGTTGACTAAGATGAGGTGTGATCACTGTATTGAGAGATATATTTTGTGTATAACTTTCTCTGTTAGTAGTTAACTATTGGTTTTGTGGTGAAAATTTTCTTACTTTTTCTACCATATCTGTATTTTCTTAGAACTACTGGACTTATGTGGTACAGGAGGCTGCTTAGCAATTTTGAATAATCTATAAATTTTCCTCGGCTGTGTCGCACATCAGCCTCATTCCCCCTCCACTGGAATGCATGTGTTCATTGCCTTGTCCTTTCTCTCCCTGCTCCTTGCACATAATCATCCTAATGAAAATTTCACTGACAGGGCCATTACAAGGGAACTTTGTTCTGATGATGGTTCCTTGATGTGAAAACAATACTAATTTAAATGTCTTAGCCCCCCCCCATTAATATTATTCAAAAAAAGAAAATACCAAGATGATTAGTTTTGTCTAATAACCCATTTAAATGCCAAGTAAAAAAACTCTAGTGTTGGGTCAGAAACAAGGTATTTGATTGAAATTAGGTTTTTGATAATATACCTCTGGACAAATTGAGATGGCCACGTGCTTAGAATATTAAGTTTTGGCAGAATATGTATATAAAGATATCACTTGTGGACAAAGTAGTACATACAGGCAAATCACTAGACAAATAAGCTTAGTGTTTATATGACTGAACAGTCATCCTGCTTTGGTTTCAGGTGTGGAATTTGGACCACGAGGGGCTCCTGTAGAGGATGGCGGTTTGTGTTTGATTCTGATTCGGGATTTGAGTACATATTCTCCACTTCCCATAGAAGGCCTCATTCTTTGAAAACTGGTGTTCATGTTTGCCATCACTGTTAAGTCCCTTGTCAAAGACAATGATGGTCAATTCATGTGTAGCTTTCACTAGGCATAAGTTCCTCCAATACCTTCTGGCTACTTGAAAGTTACTACAGAAGTTCCACCAGCAACGTACTCCAGGTTTTTCAAAAGGGAATTTTCATTTTGGATCAGTAGCAACTGAAATTGATTTCATTTGCGAAACAAACACTGGCACCAACATTTTTACTTTGGGAAGGCTTGGCAGAGTGTCAAGAGTAGTCAGGATCTATTACTTATGCATTCAGTCTGCTTCTAACCCCCTTCTTAGTTACCATCTTTTTTAACAAAAAAACAAAAACAAAACCCCACAGTATTATCGAAGTCTCTGCACTTGGAATCGGTGGGGGCGGGGGGAGGAAGGATTTGAAATTAAGCACATAACTTTTGAATTAATTGTTTTGATGTTGAATGTGGCTCAGTTATGCAAATGATTAATCAGGCTGCACTGATTAAAGTTTTGACTTTGTCCCTGGTATAATTTGCATTGAAATGCTTTATGAAATAAAAGGTTCTACTAGAACTGATGTTAGCACATTCCACTGAGCAAAACTATCAAACTGACACTTGTTAAATTGCTTACTGGACTGAATAAACTGTTTTGTCCAGTTAAAAAGGTTTTCTCTTTGTTACAAGTTTTATTTGTAAAGTCCTGTCACAATCATGGTCTAAACTGGGTTGAAAGAATTGAAAATTGTCCAACAGATAGGAAACCGCCTTGAGTGGAGAATAGTTATCTAAGCCTCCACCATCAGTCATGTTAATTCAAGGAGCCAGACAGTGGAGGAAAAGAAATCCAAAGTATATTATCTAATCTAATCACTGTCAAAATGAGTCAGAAGCAGAAATGATACCCTCCAACAGCCTCCTTTGAGTACACCCCCTTCTGCTAGTAAAGAAATACTGGACTCATTTCCCTGGGGTGGGGGCAGGGGAAAATGCAGGTATAGATCAGAAATATAATCTACCTTAAAATTAGTACTAATGATCACATTTCGCAAGAACTCTGCTGGATGTACAGCTCTTAACATTTTATTAAGCCATTTGTGTAGCCCGCCACGTTTCTTTGTGGTGCTTGTCCTGTGTGGAAGATTGAAAATCTTGGACCTGTTGCATACTTTCAAGGGCTTTAAAGCAATGTGATTAACAGTACTTGGCCTACTGCTTTCAGCTTACTACGTATTTTTAGCTAGATGCTATTATAGTGTTGAAGGATATGGATTCTGTCTGGGATGCATTTACTGTCCTTTCAGAACCCTTCCTCCCATCACCCTGTGAATAAAATACAAATGGGACCCTCTGAGAAGGACGTCTTCCTACAGTGATCACCTCACCAGCCCAGTGTTGTGGCTTTGTAGCACACCCTTTACCATATTCTAGAACACTGTAATGCTACTAGGCTGGCCCAGAAAAGGTTTAAATGTTGAATTCACTTAAATTGCATTTGTTGCACCATCATGGAATCGTGATGTGTATTATTTATAGTGGCAGTAGACTCCAAGGTGTAGAGAAAACTTGGGTCTTGGGTAATATGGACCATTTCATCCTCAGACTTGTTAGGAGTACATTTCTTGGTCTTGAGACCAGTATTTTTCAGTTATGTATGCAACTGCCTTTATTACACCTGGTTATCACAATTCAATTCTCAGGTGTTGCAGAAAAATCTACCTCTTTCAGACTGTAGATGGAAATAACTGTGAAAAAAATGATGCAGATATCTTCTAGTTTGTGCTAAACACACTGCTTTATTTTTACAGCCCACGTCTTTCATGAGGATACGAATTGTTAAGAGGCAGTCTTGTTTTGCTTTTCAAAGACATTTTGTAGAGATTTTTCACTAATGTGAATCTGATTTTATCTACTTGATTCTGTATAGATTAAGTAAATATGTATGATAAACTGAACAGCTTCTGTGTATTCTTTTACTATCCGTGGGGCCTTAAGTGTATGTATGAGTCCAAAGGTACCATTTTACCCATTTCACCCATTTCTACTCAAAAAGTGGATACACCTCCCCCTCCCCCGACACACCCCTCCCAAGCTTCTAAAAGGAACACAAGTTTTATTTTAAAACTTTATTTCTGCAAAGCCAATCAAGAAGTGTTGGAAGGAAAAAGTGTAAAAGTTACTCTCGCATATTTGGGAACAGCAAGCACTTAGTTTGAGAAAATGAGGACTTAAACAGTTGAATCAAAGGCAGTATGCTGCTACTTGCATTTAAATCAATGGTGATGTTCTTTCTTAAGCAACAATCATCTCTTTCCTAATAGCTACAATATGATACAGTACGCAACAGCTCACTTGAAAGTGCTAGAATCAGAGGATAAAGAAGCCAGAAGCCACCCCACTTACATTTTCTACTATACAAAGCCTTTTGGCGCTTGATAAATCAAGCATTCATGTAGCATTACATTCAACAGAAACATCTCTCGTACTTTGGGTTTAAGATCCTTGTCCCTCCAGTTCTGATGTCGTGACATCCGACTCTTCATCATTGTAAATATTTTCAGCCTGAAGATAACCAAATAAATCCACAGGTTAAAACTCCCTATAGTGTTTACAAGGTCATCTAAAAACAATTTAATCTATTCAGAACTTGCTAGTTTGGTTTTTATATTTCTCTCTAAAATTCAATAAGGAAATGGTAAGCTAACCAGTATTTTGAAAAATTCTTTGCCAGTGTGTAATTCCACATGTATACTTAGCCACCCATCCATGCACTACTTATTTCAGTCGCTGTTCATAAGAGATGTTTTCCAAAAGCACTTCAAGCATGGTTGATAGGAAGTGGTAGCCCAGATGTTTATGGAAGTGTTGGTTAACAACACCTTAGAAATGTCAAGCACTTAGTGCTCCTCATCAGAGAACCTGGTATCATTTGAATGCCCTCACATTTCCTTCCTGTATCCCTCATGCCTGCAACACAGAATAGAAACTGGAGACAGTAGCGATGCCAAGACTCCAGTGCATGAAGAATGCCAACAACAATGAAAATCAGAGCAGATGCAGTGATTTCTCCTGATCTGACAGGTGCTACAAATAGCAAATAGTGGACAAAACACCATATGGGACTAAAGATTATGTTGTTGAAATGGAAAAAAGTTCTTTTAAACTGTTTCTATAAATGTTTGGCATAATATGCAACTAACAAGACAGTCATTCAAGAAAAATGTTTTAACTCACCATTTGCCATATCTGCATGATGTTATCCTCAGACACTGAGCAAATGACCCAAGGCTCATTGGGGTTCCAACTAAAATCTGAAATCTTGGCAGTGTGTCCTCCATGAATAAACTGTTATAAGAACAAAAAAAGTTTGGTTTCATATACTCTCCTGGTAATCCTAATAAAGATTTTAAAAACAGTTTTTAGAGCATCAGTATTTCAACTGAGGGTGGGCGCTGTCTGTGGTTTTAGAGAGAGGGTAGGACAGGCTCAGTAATCTACTTAATAATTTTGCAAATCTCCAAACCTTCAGAAAAGGTGACAGAATACAGTACAATGGCTACCTGTACACCCTTTACCTAGATTCATCAAGTACTAATAGCGTAATCAATACTTTATCCATATGAACCTATATAATGAAATGGCTGAAGACTTCAGCCTACATCCCCTAAGAATGAAGACATTTTCCTACATAATCAAAATGCCATTTCCATACCGATTATGATGAACATTAATCCAGCATCATTTGCCATATACAGTTAGGTGCAACATCTAAGGTAATCCGTTACATGCCATGTAACATACTCTTCTATTATATAAGGGGCCTCAGAAGTCTTCTGGTTCTTTCCTTCTCCACTTTACTAAGATAGGCATACTTGTTGCCTATCTTTCCCAGGTACACAGCACCAGGGTGAAAGAAAATCACTGGCTCCAAAAGCATAGCTCGAGATATTCCCTCATAAGTTATGCCTAAGTTGAGAGAGCTTTGCTAAACAATTCTGAAGAGGGCAGTTGTTTCCTGCAAGAGACAACCTCATGGGAAAGCACCATAACTTATTTATCTTAAAATTTTTTTTTTTTTTTTTTTTTTTTTTTTTTTGAGACGGAGTTTCGCTCTTGTTACCCAGGCTGGAGTGCAATGGCGCAATCTCGGCTCACCACAACCTCCGCCTCCTGGGTTCAGGCAATTCTCCTGCCTCAGCCTCCTGAGTAGCTGGGATTACAGGCACGTGCCACCATGCCCAGCTAATTTTTTGTATTTTTAGTAGAGACGGGGTTTCACCATGTTGACCAGGTTGGTCTTGATCTCTTGACCTCGTGATCCACCCGCCTCAGCCTCCCAAAGTGCTGGGATTACAGGCTTGAGCCACCGCGCCCGGCTTATCTTAAAATTAAGATTTAAAGCAAACAGTTCTTCACAAGGATGGTATTAAATACATTGTTTGGAACTGGGACATCACACTTTCTGACAAAGTCTTATTTGACTCTAGTGTGACAATGAGGTCCCTGCCTGCCAACTAGGTCTTATGCAATGTATCTATTTTACTGAACAATCTTTTTCATATTTTTATGACATGAAAATATTTTTATGAAATATGAACAATCAGTTTAGAAATGAGGTGGGGCTGGGCACAGTGGCTCATGCCTGTAATCCCAGCACTTTGGGACGCCAAGGCAGGCAGATGGCTTGAGCTCAGGAGTTCAAGACCAACCTGGGCAACATGACAAAATCCCATCTCTACAAAAAATATGAAAATTAGCTGGGTGTGGTGGTATGTGCCTGTAGTCCCAGCTATTCAGGAGGCTGAGGTGGGAAGACAGCTTGAGCCTGGGAGATCGAGGTTGCAGTGAACTAAGGTTACACCACTGCACTCCAGCCTAGGTGAAAGAACCAGACATTGTCTCAAAAAAAAAAAAAAAAAGGGTAAACAGCTTTTTAAAATACTCTTAAAGGGTATACAAATGAATACTGGGGCTTAGAATACATACAGGAGTTTCAAAGCAAGACAGTTGTGTTAAAATTACTAGTGGAATAGTTTATTACTTTCTTTTGAGATAGGGTCTCACTGCCATTGCCCAGTCTGGAGTGCAGTGTTGTGATTGTGACTCACTGCAGCCTCAACTTCTCAGGCCCAGGTGATTCTCCAACCTCAGTCTCCCAAGTAGCTGGGACTACAGGTGCACACCACAATGCCTGGCTAGTGTGTGTGTGTGTGTGTGTGTGTGTGTGTGTGTGTGTGTGTGTGTGTGTGTGTGTATATTTTTTTTTTTTTTTTTTTTTTTGGAGACAGGGTTTCACCACGTTTCCCAACCTACAGGTGCACGCCACAATGCCTGGCTAGTGTGTGTGTGTGTGTGTGTGTGTGTGTGTGTATATTTTTTTTTTTTTTTTTTTTTTTTTTTTGGAGACAGGGTTTCACCACGTTTCCCAACCTGGGCTGGAACTTTTGGGCTCACATGATCCACCTGCCTCAGCCTCCCAAAGTGCTGGGATTCCAGGCAGGAACCACCATGCCTGGCCCAGTTTACTACTTTGAAATGTCCTTTGATTTCAAGCTCTCTTGTGAAGAACAAAATCCTAGTGTATTTTCTCAAGGACCATGGAATTGTTGCAGAGCCATAATATACAAAGTAATACACTTTCCTTTCTCCCTAAAAAAAAAAAATAGTTGGAGACCTTGAAAACATTGTACTATGTGAAAGAATCAGTCACAAAAGACAAAAGTCACATTTATATGAAATATCTAGAATAGCCCAATCTTGTAGTGCCAGAAAGTAGATTAGTGGTTGCCAAGGGCTGGAGGAAGGGGAGGACTGGGAGAGGATAGCTACAGTTTCTTCTGGAGCGGATGAATAATGTTCCAACCATCCAGTGATGGTTGTACAAGTCTATGAATATACTATAAAGCACTGAATTCAAGAACAAAAAAAAATAAAAAAAGGAAAAAAAAAACCCCAAACCCAAGAACACCCCCTCACCACTGAATTGTACACTTTAAAGAGGTGAACTGTGTGGTGTGCTAATTATATCTCAGTAAAGCTGTCATCAAAATAAAAGGGACTGGGGTGTTCCTACAAGGTGGGATTAGTGAATATCTTCTGTGTGCAAGGCTTGTTTGTTCTCAAGGGCCTTCTTTTCCTTTGAAAACTTGTGGACGATTCAATATAATCCATAGTGTCACAGAAAAAAATGAATAAAACTCATGGACAAAGTACAAGTGTGCCAAAAATGAGTACTGGCATTAGAACTAAAATCATACATGACAGAGTGATGAGTGACTATCTGCCAAATGATGGGAAGAGACAAATGTTGGATTTAGAGCAAGGACAAGGAACCATGCTAAATCTGGCAATGCTTCATAGAAAAATGATGAAGTGAGCACTGAAGGACTGAGACGGGAAGAATGAGGACAGACAGATACCACCACATAAGCTTTCAAAGGGCCGAGGACATGTGTGATGCTTCAATCAGGCATGGGAGATGGTGGGTTCTGCTAGCATCAACAAGATCGAGAAAGCCTTCCTTTTTGAGCAAGAAACTTAAAAAGCATTTTAAAAACTTTCTATACTTTTAGGAAGTGTTAAGTATTGTCAACTGAATAGCAATTATACTCACTTCCCATCCCCAAACCATCACAAATACCAGAGTTGAAATCAGTGAGAAATTACTATATACTATTTTCCAAGACCTCAAACCACTCTCAGTGAAACATTTGTAAAAACCTACTGGGCTCCATTTACTATTTTTGATAAATGTCAAAGCCCAATCGCAATAACCTCCAGGGCCTCCATTTTGAAACCATCTGCAAGAGCCAGAATTCGAAGTTCTGACTCATTCTCAAGATAAACGAATCAATGGCAATCCAATCTGCATATGACATTTCATCTTTTATAAGCCAGTGCATACCAGGAGTTCTGGAGGCCCGTCTTCTGCATCTTCTGCTGATTGTTCTTCCCCAATTTTACTGTAAGAATAAAGAATATGATGCTTTCATCAGTGAACTTCTTATAGCACGAACGTCTGCTAACCCAGTATCAGCCCAGAAAGTAATGTTAAAACACAAACACTATCACAAAAACTTATCTCTATACTACAATCAATTCGGTGTTTTTTCCTTTTTCTTTTTTTCCTTAGAGACCCATATGGTCTCGCTATGTTGCCTAGGCTGCAGTGCAGTGGCTATTCATTTACAGGCATGATCACTGTGCACTACAGCCTTGAACTCCTAGACTCAAAAGTGATCCTCTCGCCTCAGCCTCACCAAACTTGGATACCGTTTATATTTGGTTGAAGGGTGGGATGTTTACTTTCCGGAAATAAGTTAGAGTTGTTCATAATTGAAGCTGCAGAATGAGGGATTGTCAATAATAAACATTAACTCAAAATCCCTTCAAAATACTGTACATTGCATTAGAATCAAAAGGTGAAATGTATACTTAAAAAATCTATACATGAACTGATGTGCAATCCCTATACTTAAAGCCTTTTGCATTCTAGGAATAAAATAGTTATGCATCAGTACTATAGATATGTCAAAAGACATAGCAACAAATATGAAAATGTATAAGCCAAGGAAAGGTTTCTAAGGTTTTTCTCTTAAACTTCAATTTGTAGAATCTGCCAGTGGTCAACAGTGAAATCACTCTTTACGTATCAAAATCAGCCCTATCTTATATCTAGCCCAAAGAGAGATGTTACTAGTAACAACTGCTAAAAAAACAAAACCCAGCCCTCCAAGTGAGACATCATTTTTCCTTCCTATAAAACCAAACTCAAACATGCAGGATTGCTAGACAATTTTATTTCTCTTCCACCTGCCAGTACAGTTGCTAACTCTCACCATTTTAATCCCAAATTCTATCTAATGCAATTTTTAAAATTTTTTAGAGACAGGGTCTCACTATGTTGCCCAGGCTGGTCTTGAACTCGGATCAAGCAATCCTCCTGGTTCAGCCTCCCAAAGTACTGGGATTGTAGGCATGAGCCACCATGCATGGTCCCCTAATGTAATTTTAATATTAAACAAGCTATGAAATAACTGAAAGAAGAAATTACATACAATGCTCACAAATTATTGGCACCTTCTGGGGCAATTCAGCTGCCAGGGCATCAGACTTCCAAACCTTGCTGTACACTTCATACAACCTCTTTATAGTTTTAATTTAGGTTTTTTATTTACTACTAAAATTGTTTTAACATCAAATACAATTCCCCCAATTGTATGCTTTAAAGATTTTCTACATCTTCAAATATTTATCATGGCAAGCGTTTGCTCCATTAGAACCCTGAACATTAGCTGCTTTAAGTTTTACATACAAGCATTTTATTCTGCAGTGTCTCTTCTACATACTGAGGATTACTAACTCTGTAATTAAGGCAGCCTTAGTTTTAATATGCAGGTTGGGCATCCCAAATCCAAAATGCTCCAACATCCAAAGCTTTAAGCACCAACAAGACATTCAAAAGAAAAGCTCACTGGAGCATTTCAGAATTTGGACTTTCATACTGAGTGCAATGGCTCACACTTGTAACCCCAGCACTTTGGGAGGCCAAGGTGGGAGAATCACTTGGGGTCAGGAGTTTGAGACCAGCCTGGCCAATATGGCAAAATCCTGTCTTTTTTTTGTAAAAAGTACAAAAATGCCAGGCGCGGTGGCTCAAGCCTGTAATCCCAGCACTTTGGGAGGCCGAGGCGGGTGGATCATAAGGTCAAGAGATCGAGACCATCCTGGTCAACATGGTGAAACCCCGTCTCTACTAAAAATACAAAAAATTAGCTGGGCATGGTGGTGCGTGCCTGTAATCCCAGCTACTGAGGAGGCTGAGGCAGGAGAATTGCCTGAACCCAAGAGGCGGAGGTTGCGGTGAGCCGAGATTGTGCCATTGCACTCTAGCCTGGGTAGCAAGAGTGAAAATCCGTCTCCAAAAAAAAAAAAAAAAAAAAAAGTACAAAAATTAGCCGGGCATGGTGGTAGTGTCTGTAGCCCCAGCTCCTTGGGAGGCTGAAGCACGAGAATTGCTCGAACTCGGGAGGTGGAGGTTGCAGTGAGCCAAGACTGCGCCACTGCACTCCAGCCTGGGTGACAGCAAGACTCAGTTTCCAAAAAAAAAAAAAGAATTTATTTGGACTTTCAGATTTGAGATGCTCAACCAGTAAGTATAATGCAAAATTCCAAAATCCTAAAAATTCCAAAACGCTTCTTATTCCAAGTACTCTGGATAAGGGATACTCAATCTGTACTAAATCTAGTATAGCAATATACTTAATACAAGCAGGGAGTAAATTATTTTTTGGTAATTTTATGATTTAAACTTAAGATGCCATCTTATGGAGAAGTGTGTACTTTATTAAGCAATAAAGGCTCAGATGAAAAAAATAAAGGAGTCTAAAATTCTTAGAACAGCAAGTCTGAAGTCAAGGATCTTTAAGAATTGGAAGAAACTATACAATAAGCCCCAGAGAACATAAGCTGACAGCTTGGGCTGTCCTTGTCCCCTTCACAAAGGTCTCCCCAGCAGTTACACAATCCACAGCAGGAGTGCACATCTGCAGAAACAATCAATGAAAGCAGAGAAAAGCAAATGGTACAAAAACTCAGAACAATCCTGCCTACATGTACTGTGAGATCTGATGAGACACAGAACAGCTAACATCTTGATCTCTCTATATATAGTAAGTATGTTTTAAATACAGTCATTTGAATGCAAAACCAAACACAGACACATACACCTTCATGCCTGAATAAGAAGAGAGAAAACTCACATCACAGAAATTTATTTTATGGTCCATTTGCTGCTTCGCTTCTATTTTTATAGAACATACTCTTTAGGAAGATACTTAAAAGTTTCTTTAATACTAGGTTTCTTTAAAGAGGGATTACCAAATTGCTTTTCTAGTTCATGAATTACTACGTAACTTGACAGATGAGCATATTTATGCAGTATCTTGTCATAGACTGTGAGTTACCTTAAATCCCACACATTCAGGCGGCGGTCAGTACCACTTGAAGCCAGAATAGTTTCATTATGTGGAGACCAGTGGACCTAGTAATAGATAATTTTGAAAATGTATTTAAAGAATCATTTGTTGCTAGGTTTGTGGCTATTGTTCTAATCCGCTATTTTCCCATCTTGCACTTCATGATCTTATCCTTGGCCTGTTGGCCTCACCCTCTTGTCCCAGCCTTTCAAGTGTTCTGAAATGGCTCAGCTCCATCTCATCCTCAGAAAGGCTGCACTCCCCAGCACTGAGGAACTCAGCCTGGGGTCTTAATAAATTTATTTGGCCCCATAACCATCCCAGGAGCTTTTTAATTCTTCGGTAGGGTGTGCTTTAACCTACAAACATCTCCACATAAAACCATGTACAAGGCATTATTTTCACTAGTGGGCCCACCAGTCTGGTATAGCTTAACTGAAGAATCCCTAGATTTCATTTCCCGACATACAGACACCAGAAAACTTGTCACATACCTGGAAAATTTCATCTTTATGAGATTCGAAGGTATGGAGTTTTAATTTTAAGTTACGCAGATCCCATAAAGCTACGGTCTAAAGAAAAATAACAAGTGAAAATGATTTCTACGCTTTACCTAAGAATTTTCAAATCTTCTGATTAAAATAAGAGAACTGGGTTTTATAAACACCAAATAATGCAAAAACTTCAAAACCTTATCCGCAGAGCCAGTGGCTAGGATGAATTCGCTGTAGGGATTGAATGAGAGGCAATTGACTTCGGCAGTGTGTGCATCCTACCAAGTGGCTCGGCTTGGAGGTGGTATTGGACCTGGTGTCCCATCTAAAACACAAAGGTAAAGGCACACAGCACCCAGGGAGGATGCATGAGCCTCCTCAGCTTCTCACACACTCACACTCGGCCCCACGTCACTGTCAACACACTCCAAAACTAGCTCCACTATGCTCGCCCTTCATGAAGAACCAACCACACAGTTAGTGTTTCAGACTTCGACCACTAAATGATACACTCAAAACCTACAGAGAACAAGCTAGGGCTGTTAGTCCTGGTTTTTTTTCTTTTTTTTTTTTAAAGACAGAGTTTCGCTCTTGTTACCCAGGCTGGAGTGCAATGGCGCCATCTCGGCTCACCGCAACCTCCACCTCCCAGGTTCAGGCAATTCTCCTGCCTCAGCCTCCTGAGTAGCTGGGATTACAGGCACACGCCACCATGCCCAGCTAATTTTTTGTATTTTTAGTAGAGACGGGGTTTCACCATGTTGACCAGGATGGTCTCAATCTCTTGACCTCATGATCCACCCGCCTCGGCCTCCCAAAGTGCTGGGGATTACAGGCGTGAGCCACCGCGCCCGGCCTAGTCCTGGTTTTTTATTAGATTCCCATTTCAATTACCAACTATTTCAAGCATACAGAAAATAGAGACTGTAGAAAATAATGTAACAATCTCATACCTACAACTAGCTTTGACAAATGCCCAGTATTTTGTCACATTTGCCTCAGACATTTATAAGATTATAGGTGGCTGAATGCAGCCCTGTGGCCATACCTTGATGCAAAAAGTTTCCTCCCTGATCTCAACTGGTGTCACTCTGGATCCCAATTTTGATATTTACCACTACACCAAGTATGTCACTTCACACGAACATACCTATACCTATTTTTTTTTTTCTAATAAACGATCCTCCCACTTCAGCCTCCTGAGTAGCTAGGGCTACAGGTGGACACCACCATACCCAGCTAATTTTTTGTTTTTAAATTTTGTGTAGAGACACGGTCTCATACCTCCTGGCCTCAAGCAATCCTCCTGCCTCAGCCTCCCAAGGTGTTGGGATTAGAGGAGTAAGCTACCTAAAGCTGTTTTTTTAAAGCCGTAATATAAGCAAAAAAAAAAAAAAAAAAAAATCAAACTACAGCCTGCTGCAATCACTGATGGTCATTCAGGTCACCCATTTAACAAGATCCCACTGAACTTTCCACCTTACATCATCAGTTTTTGATCATCAGCAACAGATCCAAACAATGACTCGTGCAGCAGGTGCCAGGCCACATCCTCCACAACAGCCGAGTGGCCGGTAAAGATCGCTTTAGCATCCACAATTTTGCCTTCCTTTGGTCCTGCGTTTATATCCCACAGACAGACAGTCTAAGAGAGAAGGAGAGAAAAAGAAAAAAAGAACAAGGGCCGTAAGAGACTGAATTTTTTTCTTTCAAGATGACGTCTCAGACATCCAGGCTGGAGCACAGTGGTGTGATCTCAGCTCACTGCAGCCTCCGCCTCCCAGGTTCAAGCGATTCTCCTGCCTCATCCTCCCGAGTAGCTGGGATTACAGGTGCACGCCGCCAAGCTTGGCTCTTTTTTTTTTTCCTGTATTTTTAGTAGAGATGGGGTCTCACCACATTGGCCAGGCTGGTCTCATACTCCTGACCCCAGGTGATCCACCTGCCTTGGCCACCCAAAGTGCTGGGATTACAGGCATGAGCCACTGCACCCAGCCACATGAAGGAGTTTCTGTAACAGAGCTTACCCAGTAACAAAATATTTTTTTTTTACATATTACATATGCCCTTTGGCTCTGTAACAGTTATTTACACATGAAGACACTCAATGTACGTGGACTGAAGAGAAAGGAACATGTGTAGATCCTGCCATTCACACCGCCTCAGAAGGATCTAGCAAGATTAGCATGACGCTTGGCATGTGGGGAGCCCCTGGTAAATGTCAGCTATTATTACCACCAATTCCCAGCCTGGTATCTTCAAAAGGTACTAGTAATTGGGTTACTGAGTACAGTCCACTTTCCTTACTTGGGAAACCATCTCATATACACTTTGAGGGAAGCATCCTTTTAGAAAGCCTGTAATCCTGGCTCTTTGGGAGGCCAAAGCAGGTGGATCACTTGAGCCCGGGAGTTCAAGACCAGTCTGGGCAATATGGCAAAACTCCATCTCTACAAAAAACACAAAAATTCACTGGGTGTGTTGGTGTGCACCTGTAGTCTCAGCTACTTGAGAGGCTGAAATAGAGAACCACTTGAGCCCGAGAGGTGGAGGTTGCAATGAGCCAAGAATGTGCCACTACACTTCAGCCTGGGTGACAGAGTAAGATCCCGTCTCAAAAAAAAAAAAAGTAGAAAGATGACCCACAGGATGGGAGAAAATTTTCGAAAACCATAGGGACTTATACCTAGAATACATAAGAAACTCTTGTAACTCAACAATAACAAGACAAAATATGGGCAAAGAATTTGAATACATATTTCACCAAAGGAGATATGCAAATGGCCGATAAGTAAAAGAAAAGATGCTCATCATCATTAGTCATCAGGGAAATGCAAATTAAAACCACAATGAGCTGGGTGTGCTGACTCATGCCTGTAATCTCAGCACTTTGGGAGGCCAAGGCGGGAGGATCTTTTGAGCCCAACAGTTCAAGCCCAGCATGGCCAACATAGTGAAACCCTGTCTCTATTAAAAATACAAAAATTAGCTGGGCCTTGTGGTGCAACCCTGTAATCCCAGCTACTTGGGAGGCTACGGCAGGAGAATCACTTGAACCCAGAAAGTGGAGGCTGCAGTAAGCTGAGATTGTGCCACTGCACTCCTGGGCAACACAGCCAGATTCTGTCTCAAAACAAAACAAAAACCAAAAAACCCCTCCTCGCCAAAAACAACAACAACAAAGAAACCCAGCAGATACCACTTTACACACACCAGGATAGCTATAATAAAAAAAAAAAAAAGACAAGCACTGGTGAGGATGCAGAGAAACCGGAACATTTGAACATTGCTTGTGGAAATGTAATATGGAAAGCCACTTTGGAAAAGAATTTGGTAGTTGTTCAAAAAGTTAAACAGAGATACCATATGGCCCAGTAATTCCAATCCTAGGTATGTATCCAAGAGAAATGAAAACATACATCCACACGAAAACTTGTACACTAATGTTCATAACATAATTCAGAATAGCCCAAGAGTAGAAAGAACTCAAATGGTTCGACTGATAAATGAGTAAGTAAACTGTGGTATATCCATACAATGGAATATTGTTCAGCCATAAAAAGGAATGGAACATAAGAAATGTTACTTGAAAACATTATGCTAAGTGAAAGAAGCCAAACAGAAAAGGCCACATGTATGATTCCATTTACATGAAATATCAAGAATAGATAACTCTATGGAGATGGAAAATAAAGTAGTGCTTAGGAGCTAGGGAATAGCAGGGAATGAGTGGGGAGTCACTGCTTAATGGGTATAGAATTTCTTTCCTAGAGAGTGAATGAAAATATTCTAGAATTAGTGGGAATAGTTGTGCACCTTTGTGAATGTGTTAAAAGCCACCGAATTGTACACTTAAAAATACTTTATATCAATCAGGCCCCACAAACACTCTATAGAGTTTCCATTATAAGGGCCTGGAGGGTCCTCTTTTAAATAATAGGAGGCATTTTGCCTATGCTCCCTCCATTCTAACTACTTCAAAAGAGCTCTGTGGAATCCGAAGACTCATACAGGGCAGTATGAAAACCATCTCTCTAAGTCCCAGGGAAATGTTATCACAATAATCTGCAGTATTATCTTAGAAAGCCCTTCATCTATATAGTATTCCTTCAGTACAGCTGTAACACTTCAGCTCTCACTATATGAACAGATTACAAAGAATACGTTTCTCACATGGTCATCAGATGCACTCAGGAGATGTCCACTCAAATTCGAATTCCAGGAGAGACCATAGCCTTCCTTCTGGTGACCTCTTAACCTGAGATCAGGATTACATTCTCCACTTGGGTCTAAGAAAAGAAAAACATTAAGTTATTCTCTGTTTATCAGAAATTGTGAGAATAAATTCTCACTCCTTCATTGAGTGAGCCATTACAGCAATTGCACATGAACAAGATCTGGTCTGACCCATAACCACTTTCTTTAAAAAGCTGTTCTCTCGGCTTCGTTTTTAATACCCAACACAAACTGAGCCTCAGAACCATTAAATGATTGGTTTCTTTGGAAAACCTACTACAACCCTCAACACAAAAATACTAAAAACTATAGCTATCCCACACATTTGGGAAGTAGTAACCCCATCCCCCACCTCCCAATTTTTAGAAGTATTTCTAATACAGCAGGTCTGGTTGCTCACTCCTTGCATGCCTCTAGGGTAGCCTGATTCATAAGTGACCCTTGGACAACCTCTGGGAATGTGACCCTTAGAAAGTCCTTCACGTCACTGACAAAGTTGTGTAAGCCCAGAGCAGTGGGGTATGTCATAGGGACTTGTCAAGACTTGTAGAATTGTTTAGCAAGATTCACAATGCATTTGGCTTCACTGTTGGAGGCCTCAATTTTGTTACCATGGCTGGTCATAGAACAGGATGTGCCCAAACAGACCTCCACAAAAACCCCAGATTCTGAAACTCAAATGGGCTGCCCTGGGTAGAAACATTTAGCAAATGTTCCTGTGGTTTGCTGCTAGAGACAAAGCATGTCCTATGTGGCCCTAGATGGGAAGGACCCACACACCTGTTGCTAACCTCTTTGGACTTCCCCTGATGTGTATCTTTTTCCTCCTACTTCTGCTCTGAATCCTTTACTGTAATAAATTTTAGCTCTGAGTATAAACTGCTTTTAGGCAGTTCTGGCAAATTCCTGAACTTGAGGATGGTTATGGGACCCTCCAAAGCAACTTTTAAATCTTTAAACATTATAAAGTATGCTACTTTGACCTTAAAAACATTACCAGTTTGATTTAAGAAAACTGCTCAAGCAATGGCCTGACTTTATTACATACCTGGTTTAGCAGGGTGTTTTGTATAGTCAAAGACCAACACATCAGAAGATGGTGTTTTCGTCGCAATGATGTGAGGATTCTGCGGCATGTAACGAGCACGGTTTACTTCTCCTTCATGATTGATTTTAATTTCACATTCAATTTTTCCTGTTACAGAACCAAAGCCACCAAATTCTGATGTGAGGAGAAAGAAAGAAACACACACACACAATCAGGATTAAAATTCACAAATCACTTATTTTAATCAACCTAACAGATTTTGACCTGGCAGAATACAACACAAATTGACAAGGCAAAGACAGAGACATGCAGAGAGAGAGAAAATAAAAAAACGTGAGCTCATTTGCCACATCAATTTATTCCCATTTTCACTGAAAAATATTGGTAGCTGCCTTATGCTACTTAATTCAGTTCTACCCTGGATCTAAAACAACTGTCCTCTTTCAGTTTTGAAGATGATATATTCACTGAGCTTTCAAATAACGATATAATAAGCAGACCAACAGTTTTTTAGTTCAAATATAACTCATTTGGAAGCACTGCACTGAATTAGCATCTTATTTTAGGATTCAACAAAACAGGAAAGGTTTTACCTTCAGGAGTATGAACATTCTTCGAGTCTAAAGTCAGGAGTATCCTGAAATTAATCAAAAACCCATGCTAACCCCTATCCATCCCTAAACACACATATGTTGGCCCTGCTAGCATACTTGGTTTAACTGCTAGTGCAGTGCCAAGGTTATCCTCTCCATCTGGTGTGTGAGTAAGACTGTAGTATCAAATAATCATGAAAAAGGCCTTGTAAAGTAACAAAGCCATATAAAAAGTATGATAACTTCCAAGAAGTAGCAACATATTAACACAAAGAATACAAGTAGAGAACATCTAAGCAAAGAGCAGCAAACAAGGACATTCTTTTTTATGCTCATAGATTAAAAACTTGAATTAGTTGCTGACATGTAAAAAGAAGGACGGTTCACATTACAATTGTGTTATTTCTTCCTGACCTATATTGCCTTTTCTTTGCACATTCCATTTTAACTCACCCTGTGTCTCAGGTCAAGGAAAACTAACACAAATGCCTATTGGAGCCAGGCAGGTAAGAAGTAAAACAGACTGGGACCTGGAGAAAACACCAAAAGGAGCAAACCATTTCTCAGTTTCAGCCAGCTCTACATGGGAATGCCTAATGAAACTGGCTTCCACGTCTTAACATCAGTATCTAGTCATTTCTTTGAAGTAAATGTAGCTTACTATTTCTGTGTGGTTGAAAACCATTCTCAAATCCACACGATTACTCCAAAGCTCCTCTACCCACTACTCTGATGTGGCCACAAGCAAAAGGACGCTTTCACCTCGTAGCACCTTCGATACCATGGTGTCAATGGAAAAAGTGTGCCTTGATGTCCTAAGACCACTCCTGATCCAATTATCTCCTTCCTCCCGAGACTGCTCCAAACCTGCTCCACCTTCACCTTCAACATCCCATTCCATGGACCCCAGTGGCTCTAACCCTTCTGCTACAAAGATACCCAAGTTTCCTGATTCCTTTAGCTAAAACAACATGAACAGCTCTCAAAAAAAAAAAAAAAAAAAAAATGGCTGGGCACAGTGGCTTATGCCTGTAATCCTAGCACTCTGGGAAGACGAGGTGGGCGGATCATGAGGTCAGGAGATCGAGATCATCCTGGCCAACATGGTGAAACCCCATCTCTATTAAAAATACAAAAAAATTAGCTGGGCATGGTGGCACATGCCTGTAGTCCCAGCTACTCGGGAAGCTGAGGCAGGAGAACTGCTTGAACACAGGAGGCAGAGATTGTAGTGAGCCAAGATTGCACCACTGCACTACAGCCTGGGCCACTGTGCAGTGTGAGACTTCGTCTGAAAAAAAAAAAAAAAAAAAAAGACTTCCAAGTAGGATTTACCTTGAACACAGAGCTTTGTTTTCTCAAACTTGAAAGTCTGAAAAGTCAGTCTTAATGATCATATCCATTAAAAAATATAACTGAACATTAACAAAGGCATTAACTGAATTATGTTAGCTACTTGTTAGAATATGCTAGATATGTAACTTTATACTTTAATAATGTATTAACATCATTATGCAGAGACTGTTAAACTGCAAGCCCAGTGAATATATACCTCAGGACTAAAAGCCATTTAAAAATTTCTGATTACAATATTCAGGTCAGATGTGGTGGCTCATGCTTCTAATTTCAGCACTTTGGGAAGCTGAGGCAGGCGAATCACTTCGGGCCAGGAGTTCAAGACCGGCCTGGCCAACATGATGAAACCCAGTCTCTACTAAAAATACAAAAATTAGCAGGGCGTGGTGGTGGGCGCCTGTAATCTCAGCTACTCTTGAGGCTGAGGCATGAGAATCACTTGAACCCAGGAGGGAGAGGTTGCAGTGAGCCAAGATTGCACCACTGCACTCCAGCCTGGGCGACACAGCAACACTCTGCCTCAAAACAATCAAAAACAAGAAACCCCTAATATTTAAAGAAATAATGCATAAAATTGTTGGGGAATGAACTGTAAATTGTGGGAGTGGTAAACTGGGTAAATCGCTTTGGAGAATAGTTTTCTATGAAGTTAATAATGAATATACTACACAACCCAGTAGTTTCACTACACTAGAAAATGTAGTATTTTTGAGTATTTTTTTTTTTTTTTAGGAATCTCTGAAATTCATCTACGAAGAAGCAGGTCCTAAGACAGGAAGTGGAACACTGTCTCCTTGACCCTTCAGAGTCTAAATGCATTGCCATTGTCCCAGATGGTGGTATTCTCATAGGGAGGGAGTCCAGGAGGTAGGCAGGGAGGGGCCTGAACCACCCCAGATAGTTGATTGGGTGGTTCAGGTGCCCATACTCAACAGCCAAATCAGCCAGATCAGCTCCCTTTGGGTTTAATCATTCCTGTTATTCCCACTTCCCAATCTCCCACCACACCATGCCTTTGGCAATGTCTTTTTTTTTTTTTTTTGAGACAGAGTTTCGCTCTTGTTACCCAGGCTGGAGTGCAATGGCGCGATCTCGGCTCACCGCAACCTCCGCCTCCTGGGTTCAGGCAACTCTCCTGCCTCAGCCTCCTGAGTAGCTGGGATTACAGGCATGCGCCACCATGCCCAGCTAATTTTTTTGTATTTTTAGTAGAGACGGGGTTTCACCATGTTGACCGGGATGGTCTCGATCTCTTGACCTCGTGATCCACCCGTCTCAGCCTCCCAGAGTGCTGGGATTACAGGCTTGAGCCACTGCGCCCGGCTCGGCAATGTCTTATTTAAGCATTTGGGCCAAGCCTCAGGTGGGTGAATGACTGAGGGAAGCGGTGAGGGTAGAGGTGACCGAGAGGTGGTGAGGCCCTGATTCTGTACACAGTATCCGTGAGGTCCAGTCAGCACCCCCAGTGGAGGCTGTCCTGTGCAGCTCTTCGTTGTCCTAACTCAAAGTACCTTGGCACCCTGGCCACTCACACAGGTTTGTTTGACCTGCTAGGGTTAACTGGAAGGCAGAAGTTCCTAAGGCTATTGGTGATGTTTTCTTTCCTGCTTTTCGCTCCTGGAACACCTGCTCTTTGAGGGGGCTGGCCCCCTGCTAGATGGAACCTGTGGGAGAGAAAGGCTCAGTCCTGGTCTTAGTACTTGGTGTGGGGCTCTGTTGCTCAGGTTGGAGGGCAGTGGTGTGATCCTAGCTCACTGCAGCTTCAAAATCCTGGGCTCAAGGGATCCTCCCCCTTCAGCCTCCCAAGTAGCTAGGACTATAGGCATGTACCATCACACATAGCTAACTAAGTTTTAATTAATTAATTAATTATTTATTTATTTAATTTTTTTGCGACGGAGTTTCGCTCTTGTTACCCAGGCTGGAGTGCAATGGCGCGATCTCGGCTCACCGCAACCTCCGCCTCCTGGGTTCAGGCAATTCTCCTGCCTCAGCCTCCTGAGTAGCTGGGATTACAGGCACGCACCACCATGCCCATCTAATTTTTTGTATTTTTAGTAGAGACGGGGTTTCACCATGTTGACCAGGATGGTCTCGATCTCTCGACCTCGTGATCCACCCTCCTCGGCCTCCCAAAGTGCTGGGATTACAGGCTTGAGCCACCGCGCCCGGCCTATTTATTTATTTTTTTAAAGATGGGGTTTCACCATGTTGGCCAGGCTGGTCCTGAACTCCTGACCTCAGGTGATCCACCCACCTCGTCCTCCCAAAATGCTAGGATTACAAGCATGAGCCACTGCGCCCGGCTTGCTTTATTTTTTGATAGAGACAAAGTCTCGCTGTGTGCCCCGGCTGGACTTAAAACTCCTGCGCTCAAGCATTCCTCCTGCCTCGGCCTCCCAAAGCGTTGGGATTACGGGTATGAGCTACCATATTTTACCTTCGATAAGAAAAAAACCCCAAAGGCATGTTATTAGGAAGTGCTAATAGCATTAAGCCATCTGGGACTGTGAAGAGAGAGTTAACACAGCAGTCTGGTTGCTTAGCCCTGGATTCTGAGGAACACTGGGACCATTAGTGACCCTTGGCAAACTCCTGGGAACATGCACCTCAGAATGTTCTTTCTGTCACTGACGAACTGATGATTTTGTGGTGTGCACCTGGAGCAATGGACCATGTTGTACCAGTTTGTCAGGGTTGCTTTGTAGATATCAAGATTGATTATTGCTTTTATTACTGAGGTCCTCAGTTTTTATTACTTGGGTCTTCAAGTTTCAGTTGCTATGGCTGGTTGTCAGCAGGATGTGTCTATGCAACTAGTCCCCCAAGAAAGCCTCAGACCCCAAGACCCAAATAGGCTTCCCTGAGCAGAGATATTTCACACATGTCCCTGCAGTTTGCTGCCAGAGAGAAAGCACAGCCTGTGTGGCCTTGGACAAGACTTATGCCAGACCTCCCTGAACTTGCCGATGTACATCTTTTTCCTGCTGCTTTTGTGTTCTTTACTGTAATAAACTTTAACCACAAGTATAATTTGCTCTTTTGAGTCCTAACAAAATCACCAAACTTGGGGTGGTCATGAGAATACCAAAACAGGAGAGTATCTTTGACTAAATCAAAAAAAGAAAAAAGCAGCCAACAGATTCCTAAATTAACCATAGCACTACTGCCTCTCCCACCCTCCCTCCAAACAAACAAACCAAAAAAACCCAGTATTAACCATTTGGTGTCACTATTGTTTGATGTGTATGTCGTCTCCTGATTTTTTTCCTATGCACACCCCAACACGTATTACTTCTACCAAAGTGGAACACAGTAATTATGCACAACGGTTATTCACTTAATTTATCTTGGATACCTTCCTATACCAGAGCATACAGATTTTTCCCATTAAAAAAATTTTTTTTTTTTGGCCGGGCGCGGTGGCTCAAGCCTGTAATCCCAGCACTTTGGGAGGCCGAGGTGGGTGGATCATGAGGTCAAGAGATAGAGACCATCGTGGTCAACATGGTGAAACCCCGTCTCTACTAAAAATACAAAAAATTAGCTGGGCATGGTGGCGTGTGCCTGTAATCCCAGCTACTCAGGAGGCTGAGGCAGGAGAATTGCCTGAACCCAGGAGGCGGAGGTTGCGGTGAGCTGAGATAGCGCCACTGCACTCCAGCCTGGGTAACAAGAGCAAAACTCTGTCTCAAAAAAAAAAAAAAAAAAAAAAAAAAAAAAAATTTTTTTAATTTTTGGTAGAAATGAGGTCTATGTTGTCCAGACTGGGCTTGAACTCCTCAACTCAAGTAATCCTCCCACCTCAGCCTCCCGAAGTGCTGGGATTATAGGTGTGAGCTATGGCACCTGGCCTTTCTCATTACTTGCTGAGTAGTATTTCAAACATATCATGTGCTTAACCAACATCTGGGTTACTAGGTTGATCTTAATTTTTCAATTCTGCAATTACGATTGAAATCCTTTGTGTACATGTGGGTGAGTAATTCCGTAGGATGAAGTCCTAGAGTTAAATTACTGGGCCCAAAGCTAATAGTATAGTTTTAGCTGCACATGCTTTGAAGAAAGCATATTCCCTTTGTCATCAATATTGGAATATATAATATACCTACCACCCTTGTCACTGTCACAATGGGAAGCATCAAACTGTGCATCATCATTGGGAATATGTACTCGAGCAACCACCAGATGATTCTGCTCATCAGACGTATGAGTCCCCAGCACCAGCCAATGAAGGGCATAATCTTTTCCTTCCGGTCTGTTTAGAAAAGAAAACAAGTCACACTAATCCTATAAGAAATTTCCAGTTGCTAACAAATTCAGTCAAGTTCCCTCAAAATACATTCAAATTTCTTTAGCAAATATATACTTAGCATCAACTGTGTATCTTCTCCCTGTCTGGTTACCAACTTTACAATCACCACATATGCAAGTGTAGAAAATATTCTAGTTACAACATGCAGAAGGCTTGCTTCCTTCCCAAAGAGCTATCCTCCTGTGCCTCAATTATCAATGTGAACACTGCCTTTTATAGACTAGCACTCTGGGGAAGGTAGGTCCAACTCAGTAAACACAAACATCTACATAGGAGTCTACCAAACAGTCCCCATACTCATAAATCACCTAAAAAAAATCATCTTCCCACCTAAAGATATCTTATACAGTAGATGTTTCTTATTTCCCAATAAGAAATTCTACAAGGGGCCGGGTGCGGTGGCTCAAGCCTGTAATCCCAGCACTTTGGGAGGCCAAGGCGGGTAGATCACGAGGTCAAGAGATCGAGACCATACTGGTCAACATGGTGAAACCCCCGTCTATACTAAAAATACAAAAAATTAGCTGGGCATGGTGGCACGTGCCTGTAATCCCAGCTACTCAGGAGGCTGAGGCAGAATTGCCTGAACCCAGGAGGTGGAGGTTGTGGTGAGCCGAGATCGCGCCACTGCACTCCAGCCTGGGTAACAAGAGCGAAACTCCATCTCAAAAAAAGAAATTCTACAAGGTAGTATGGACAGAAAGTGTTGAGGCAAAAAAAAACTTAGCTTAAATCCTGGATCAAACTAAAATGCAATTGCTTCAAACAATCTCCCTGGGGCGTCAGTTTCTTCACTGAAAAAAATAGGTTATAAATGCAAGTGGCCTGATGTGAAACCCCTTATTTATTAAATGTTTAAGAGACCTAAGTTTATGAAATGAACATTCTCAGTTTTACTGAGGTGTCTTTGTTACCTTGTTCTGTGGAAACTCACCTTGAGGCTGAAGAACTTGCCCAAATCTCTTGGCACCTTGGTCCAAGCAGTGATTTTTCATCAGTATCTATCAAAAAGGCTTTCCCATTTGTATTATCTAGAACACAATTTTCAACTGTGCTCCACGGTCCCACCTCAACGAAGAGGACTTAGACGGGCTCTAGGCCCCAATTAAGCCATTTAATTTATCTGTTTCTAAATTTCAGTTGCACAAAGGAGTCAATGGTTCAAAAAAAAAAGGATTGACTGTTACTTCTAGGCAAGTAACTTAGTAATAAGAAAATACAAGATGCAATTTTACCAAGATTTGGCTTATAGTAAAAAAGTGTGCGCGGCTGGGCACGGTGGCTCACGCCTGTAATCCCAGCACTTTGGGAGGTCGAAGTAGGCGGATCATGAGGTCAGGAGTTCCAGACCAACCTGATCAACATGGTGAAACCCCATCTCTACTAAAAATGCAAAAAAATTAGCCAGGCATGGTGGCATGCACCTGTAATCCCAGCTGCTTGGAAGGCTGAGGCAGGGGAATTGCTTGAACCAGGGAGGTAGAGGTTGCGGTGAGCCACGATCGTGCCACTGCACTCCAGCCTGGGTGACACAGCAAGACTCTGTCTCAAAAAGAAAAAAAAAAAAAAAAAGAAAAAAGGTGTGCACACACAGACACACACACACGCTCCCCCAAGAACAGAGTAAGGAAGCCATGACTAAGCAATAGCAACTTGTTTGAAAAAAAGACAGCCAGGCACGGTGGCTCATGCCTGTAATCTCAGCTACTCAGGAGGCTGAGGCAGGAGAATCACTTGAACCAGTGAGACAGAGGTTGCAGTGAGTGGAGATCACGCCATTGCACTCCATCCAGGGCAACAAGAGCGAAACTCCATCTCATTTAAAAAAAAAAAAAAAAGACATGGGTCTTGATTGATACATACACAGTGGGCCAGGAATATGATGTGGTTATCAAAAAGGTAGCTAATTCTATCTTAGGTGGTCTTTATATGTGTGTAGGGGGCAAAGCACATGAGCACACACATTATACAGTGTATCCATAAATAGAATTCTATGGCACCCTTTAAAACAACAAGCATATCCAAGCATGCTGATAGGAAAATCTCCAATACACACTTTTACTGACAAACTCAAGTGAAGAACTTTCTACCATAAAAAAAGATGAAGATACAGGTATGCACTTCTACATGCTGGCAGGATGGATTAAGAAACTGAAAACAGTGACTGGGGAAAGGAAGTAGGGCAGTAAGGGATGTGGAAAGGGGACTTAGTCTTCACTCTACATACTTTTGTATTGCCTGAATTTGAAAAATTACAAAGCTTTTTAGGTAGAGAATAAGTTAGTCTCAATATATTTAAGGAATTATTCAACAAGAGATATGAAATAACTACCTAATTAAAAAAATTTCATAGAGATACCTGAATACAACCTTTTAAAAGTCAAATCAACACCTGTAATCCCAGCACTTTGAGAGGCCAAGGCAGACAGATCATGAGGTCAAGAGTTCGAGACCAACCTGACCAACATGGTGAAACGGTCTCTACTAAAAATACAAAAATTAGGCAGGTGTGGTGGTGCATGCCTGTTTAATCCCAGCTACTCAGGAGGCTGAGGCAGGAGAATTGCTTGAACCTGGGAGGCTGAGGCTGCAGTGAGCAGAGATCGTGCTGCTGCACTCCAGCCTGACAGAACGAGACTGTCTCAAAAACAAACAAACAAACAAACAAAAAAAAAACCACAGCCAAATCAAAATCAATTATTTGGACAATTACCTAACTCAATCGAAGGACAATGGCTCAGAAAGTCCAAGTAATTGTTATGAAGCATGTTGTAAGTTGGCAGAAGGGCATATGGGGTGGAGTAGGGTATACTTCCTCAGAGTCAGGCACTGAGAATAGCCAACATTTTTATTGTTCTATATGGTAATAAAACACAGTCCCTTTATACCCAAACTGAACCCTGCAAAGCCCCACACAGCAATCCTTAACATCCAAGAATGCAGGCTGCTTGGCATTTTCTTACATTCTGTAAGCCACTGCACTTCCCACAACCCAATCCTACAATATCTTTGTATACAAAGAACACCATAATAAGCATGAAATAATTTAATTAAAGCATTTCCTGTTACATTCCTAAGTGTTACATATTATAGGTAACAACAACAAAAAAAAAAAACCAAAAAAAAAAAAACTTCAGCAAGCAGCTTTCATTGAAATCCAAATGAAGAAACACAGAGCTATTTCAATCCTGACAAATTATTTCTGAACAGGAAGGGGTGGGAGAATCAGCATCAGTCACCACTTGCTGTGTACTTATGCTGCATCAGGCACTTTAACATGCATGATCTTATTTAATTCCCTCAAATGGAGGTAGTCAGTACCATCACCATCTCCATTTACAGCCCAGACAACACGGCCCTAGTTCACGAAGCTAAGTAGAAGCAGGGGCATAATTCCAACCCAGGTCTCTAAAGTCCCTACTCTTTTCTATTATGTTACAGTGGGTCAAAAATATCCCCAAAATTTAGTTAATAAATTTTAAATCTGCTTAACAGACAAAAAAAGGCAAATGCACACAATGCTCCAAACCAGAACTTGAATATCCCTGAGTATATGATGTGTAATCTAGTTTTTAATCTGTTCAAAGGTGGCTGTAAACGTCAATGCTTCCAAGTCTTCATTATTTAGTTCTTCTCTACTCTTCCCATATCTGCATATTTACATTTGGATTTTTTGGAGGCCCAGTGGAGTCCCTATCTGTATGGAAATCAATGTTTGCATATGCGGAACATGGCCATTTCAAGAGCAGTTTATATAAAATTAGCTCATTATGATTATTATTATTTTAGAGACGGAGTCTCGCTCTGTCGCCCAGGCTGGAGTGCAGTAGTGTGATCTTGGCTCACTGTAACCCCTGCCTCCCGGGTTCAAGCAATTCTCCTGCCTCAGCCTCCCTGTAGCTGGGACTACAGGCACACACCACCACGCATGGTTTTTTTTTTTTTTTTTTTTTTTTTTTTGTATTTTAGTAGAGACGGGATTTCAGCACGTTGCCCAGGCTGGTCTCGAACTCCTGAACTCAGGCAATCCACCTGCCTCAGCCTCCCAAACTGCTAGGGTAACAGGTGTGAGCCACCGCGCCCGGCCAAAATTAGATTATTTTAAAAACTTGTTGCAAAATCCTCTTTTTAGGTTACAGTTTCATTTAATACTCTTTAACTTACATGCCCACAACACCCAGCTTTAATACACTTTTTTTTTTGTTTCTTTGGGAGACAGGGTCTCTCGCTCTCACTACAGCCTTGAATTCCTGGGCTCAAGCTAACCTTCCAAAGCGCTAGGATTACAGGAGTAAGCCACTGTGTCTGGCCCCGTATTTAATACACTTTAAAAGTACAGGTCAAGTTCCTACTAGAAAAGGTGCAAGTGAATGAGAAATCTAATGTAGGGACCAGCTGTGTGATCTTGGGATAGCACTTAAACGCTCAGTCCTAGTTCCCTTATTAGTAAAACAAGGATGAAGAAAAGTACCTATAGCATACTACTATTATGAGGATTACAACAAACAATAGGACGTAAACTCTTCAGATGTGCCAGGCCCTGTTCTGAGTGCTCAATAAATTGCTCAGCAATTACCACCAGAGAAACTGTAGATCTAACAGAAAAGAATACTCTTATGAAGACTAACAGCAATCTCAAAGTGGATTCCGTATTAGAAACCGATTTTTTAAAAAAATTTTACTTTAGGTTCTTGGGTACATGTGCAGATGATGCCGGATTGTTGCATAGGTACATACATGGCAAGGTGGTTTGCTTCCTCTGTCCCCCGTCACCTATATCTGGCATTTCTCCCCATGTTATCCCTCCCCAACCTCTCCACCCGCCACTGTCCCTCCCCATCACCCCTGCAACAGACCCAAGTGTGTGGTGCTCCCCTCCCTGTGTTCTTCATTGTTCAATACCCACCTATGAGTGAAAACATGCGGCGATAACACCTATTCTTTGGTCAACTGTTGACAAGGTCTTTTTTCCCTTTACCAATTAAAATGTATTTATCTTGGGTGCCTGTTAAGTGTGTTCAGTTTGTAAAAATTTATCAAGCCATACACTTACAATGTGTGAACTTTTCTGTATATATTCTATTTTTCAATAAAGTTTTAAAGACATGTATTAGTTTGAGCCCAGAGAGATGTTGCTCTACATTCAAGCCCAGGCAATGTCAAATACATTCACTATTTCCTCCAAACACTATTAATCTCACAACAGATTCTTCTCCCCTTTTAACACTACAGTATATGCCAGAAATCATCCCACAAATCACGTAAGTTTTGAAAATAAAAACCACCTGCCACCTCATGCAAGGGCTGATTACATACTTATGTTCTATGTATAAAACGCCAAAACTAGGAAATTCAGAACTACAGTTAAATTTAAGCAAAATAAAAGTTGCCAGAAACCCTTACTTAGTCACTTCAGGAAGCCACTGAACGGTAAGACTGGGCCACTGAAGAGCATGGGTCATAACCAGGTCATATAGAAACGGTGTATTCTTCTTCCAGATTTTATATTCTTCATTGATGACACGCTCCTCCACAGTATCTTCAAACACTGAAATTTGGAGAAAGCCCACACGATTAAGTAAGTGGCTGAGATGGATTGAAGTCAGAAATTGGAGGTCATCTCAAGATGGCCACACCTCATGTACGCTTTCCTTTTACCTCTAATTTGGACACGGACAACTAACTGCTCTTCCAGGAGGCGGAGAAAATACTAACACAACCAGGAAGCGTGTTTTTTTCAGTTGAGATCAATACCTCCTGCGTATACCATGTTGGGTAGTCAATTACGCGGACACGGAAATTGTTTACCCTATTACAGCTGTTCGCACCTGTTCTAAGATGACGACTTATACGTACAAGGGCTGCGCGACCCACTCGGTGAGACAAATGCACATGTAGCAGAGGCCCACAGGCCCAGTCCCTTCATTCCCCATCAGGGGAGGTCCCAGCTCCCACGACGCCCGCCTCGGCCGCCATAGGCCGGAGGACTCCAGCAACCCCTGGACAAGGGCCGCGACCCCGAAGCGGTCGACGCGCGCGTGTAAAGAGCCGAGGTGTTCGCTTCCAGGCGGCGACGGCCGCCTCCGCCCCGGGGCCGAGGGCGCCGGAGGGAGCGAAGCCGCTGGAGGAGGGAGGGGAGGAGGGGGGCCCAGCCCTCGGCCCCGCGCCGGGCTCCGGAAGTGCTCGGAGCCCTTGGCTCCGCGGTCCCGTCCCGCGCAGGCCCCACGAGGCGCGCGCCCAGCCTCGCGCCCGGCCCCGCCCCCTGCTCCGCACGCCAATTCGCGCCTTTCGCCGGCGCGTGCCGCGGCCTCGCGCGCCCGCCGCCCCCCGCGGCCCCGGCGCGCGCCGCCCCGCAGGGCCTCTTACTCTCTTTACTCGCCATCTTGCGTCGGGTCGTTCGCCCCTCGCCGCCGCCTCGGACTCCCCTCGTTAGCCAAGAGCAGCCCGACCGCTGGCGCTCCTGCCTTTCCCAAGCGCGTCACACACTTCCCGCTCACGAAAGCCCGGGCCCTGTCTTGCGGCCTGGGTGCTCCCCAGACGCCGCGTCCTTCTTTCCTGCCTCCTCCCCGCTCGCGGGTACCGAGGTCTGAGGCGCTCTTCTCTCTCTCTCCAAACTTGGAACGAGACTTTTCAACCCGCGCCTCCTAGCCCGCCCAGGCAGCTGAGCGCAGGCGCATCCGCCCTGGGAAAAGTGAGAGGAGGCGGAGAGGCGGGTCTGGGAGCCAACGGCTCTTGCGCCGCGACCAATGAAGTGCGGCGGGCGGGTTTCACGCGGCGTTCGGAGGCGGGCTTCTGGGGGTGGGCGGGGCGTGTCGCGGCAGGAAGTTGGCGATGCGCAGGCGCGAGGGCTCGCCTGGCGCTCCCAGGGCCAGCCGCGGGGGCGGATGGGGGCGTGCGGGGGCGGGGCGAATGGAGGCGCGGCTGGCCGGCTCCGCGGGGGCAGCGCGCCCGGGGGCGGCGAGCCTTGGGGCCCGCGGGGCGTGGTTGCTGGTAGCGGCAGCGGTGGTGGGGGCGAGATGGGGGCAGGGAGGCTGTCGCCGCTTAGCCAAGCAAAATCTCAGAGCAAGAGGGGAAAATGGTTCCTGTTCTCGAGAGATTACTGTGCCTTCAAAGTCTCCCTGATAATCACGCACATGCAATTCTCTGCACCCCTAATGTTCTCCTCCCGCCCACTGGCCTTTCCTGGGGCCCGGTCGGGCCGAGGTGGGGCTGGTCTCAGATGGAGAGGCCGCGGGCGTTTTCTGCCTGCAAAAGCCGCCTGGCCGCCCTGTTAGGCTAAATGTGAAGCGTGTGGTGGCACAGGCCGCCGGCGGGCCGAAGCCGATTTACATTAAATTATATTTTAATTTGTTGGATATGTGGGTCCTTAAGATGATGGTTTGCGGCCTCTTCGTGCCTCAGGGGATTTTGTTACTGCACTGGCATTCCTTTCTCATCCCAGCCCCGGCCCCTGCTGAGTCATTTTTGTCACCTGCAGGGGTCCCAGAGCGACCCCACCCCAAGCTGGCGGAGCTGGGGAGAGCTGGGCTGAGCTGCCCTGGGCCTGCTTACCTGAGCCCTGCTCTGCCAGGGAACTTCGCAGCCCCTGAGGAGGAGGGGGGTGGGGAAGGAGAAAGCTTGCTTAAAGGCCAAAAGGGGAATGGAGAGAAAAAAATGAGGGCCTGGAGCAGAGGGGACGGAGTTGGGGGAGGCGACCAAGGTGCCTGCGTGCAAAGGGAACCGAAGTGTACGTCCAGCTCCAAGAGAGGCTCCTCTTGCAAAAGCACCCCCGGAACATTTGCTGCCTTGATACCTTTCCAAGTGCCTTCATGCTCAGATGCTATCTTGCAGATGCTGTTGTCATGCCCACTTTTCTGACCGGGACGCAAACCCAGACGTTAGTCAGTGGCAGAACCAGTCACATTCCCTTCTGTAGATATTTATCGTCTTGTTTTCGATACAATACAATTCATTATTATAGCGCACTCCCTCCAGGCGGGGTCCAGGAATCTTGTTAGTGCCTAAGGCGGAGGGGGTGGCTGGAGATGGAGAGTTGGAAGGGTGTTTAAGCAATACAGCCCTCATATTAGGACACTGGTTTGTCAGACCTTTTCTAAAAGGACCCAGATAGTAAATACTTCAAGCTTTACGGGCAACTGCTCACTCTGTCGCGTTGTAGCGCAAAGCAGCCATGGAAAATGTGTATACATTTGGCCGTGTTCCAATAAAACTACAGACACTGAAATCGTTTTCACGGGTCACAAAATCTTCTTTTGATTTTTTTTTTTCAACCGCTTTAAAATGGAAAAACCATTCTCAGCTCGAGGGCCATACAAAAACATGTGGTGGGTTAGATTTAGTCAGAGGACTGCAGTTTGCCCACCTTGTTCTAGAATAATTGTACCTTATGGCTCTGCTTCAAAGAGAACCTCATGTGCAAAGCGAGAGGCGGCCTGGGAGATGATTTGTTTGCCTTTAATACAATGTACTCATTTCTGATAAGAAGGCATGATTTCCAAAACCTTATTAAATGTTTAAAGGACTGAAAGAAAAGAAATCTTCCCACACGGTGTGGCTTTAAAATCTTGATACTGTTTACCTCAGTGAGGGTAAAGGAAAGAAATATGAAACAAATATTTTGGGAGTTTCTGAGGATATTCACACATTATCATACATTGAATCTGAAAATATTTACAGCATATTTCATTAGTTTTGCTTTTTTTTTTTTTTTTTTTTTTTTTTTTTTTTGAGACAGAGTTTTGCTCTTGTTACCCAGGCTGGAGTGCAATGGCGCGATCTCGGCTCATCGCAACCTCCGCCTCCTGGGTTCAGGCAATTCTCCTGCCTCAGCCTCCTGAGTAGCTGGGATTACAGGCACGTGCCACCATGCCCAGCTAATTTTTTGTATTTTTAGTAGAGACGGGGTTTCACTGTGTTGACCGGGATGGTCTCGATCTCTTGACCTCGTGATCCACCCGCCTCGGCCTCCCAAAGTGCTGGGATTACAGGCTTGAGCCACCGCGCCCGGCTAGTTTTGCATTTTTGTTGTTGTTAAATTGAATCTGTTAATTCTATTTAATTGTTTTGGCCTTTTCTCCATCAGCTACTTTTTTGCATTAAAAAAAGTAATACGTTTTCTCTCTTGGATTGCTAAACCGTTGGGTTTGTCTTTCTCCCCAACCTCTTAGCTCTGGGTCCTAATCTTTTCTGGAACTTTCTCTGGGGTTATTCGTTTTGTCTCTCCCGTGCTCAGCTGATAGAGTAAGGCACAAACAGGTGCACACACACAAGGAAGGGATGGATTTTATTACATTTTTTGAAAATGCAAATTCTAAGTGGACTTCATGATTGTGCTTAGTCACAACTTGAAGTTTGAAAAACACACTATGATTTTTAAACTTTTTCATTTTTCTTTCTTCTTTCTTTCTTTCTTTTTTTTTTTTTTTTTTTTTTTTGAGAGAAGCTCTCATTCTGTCACCCAGGCTGGAGTGCAGTGGCAATGATCACAGCTCACTGCAGCCTCAACCTCCTGGGCTCAGGCGAACCTCCCACCTCAGCCTCCCGAGTAGCTGGGACCACAGGCACAGCCCACCACTCCCAGATATTTTTATTTTTATTTTTTGTAGAGACAGGGTTTCACTATGTTGCTCAGGCTACATCCTGAGCTCAAGGATCTGGCCACTTTGGCCTCTCAAAGTGCTGGGATTACAGGCATGAGCCACCATGCTGGGCCTATTTTTTAAACCTCTAGCTGTCCCCAACTACCCTTTACAAAATATCAACATGCCCTCATCCACCCCCACAGGTAATCACCTTCTATCTCCTTTACTCTATTTTCTGTTTTTTTTCCACAGCGCTTATCGCTATCTGACAGATGTTTGTCCACAGGCTTTTTCCTGCACACTAGAATGTAGATTAGAGGGTAGGATTCTTGTTTTGTTGTGCCCTCAGCATCTGGACTGGTGCTTACCAGATGAGGAAGCTGAGCCAGACTGGTGAGGTTGCCAAGATGACATAGCTAGTGAGTGTTGGAGTTGGAATTTGAATTTAATCAGTCTTATATTAAGACAGCAAAAATGATACTATGTGATAGAATGAACTATTTACTAAAAGGAATCAGAGAAGGAATCAGAGACATAATACCCAGATATACCTGCAGAATGAGTCCATGTTCATTAGCAACCATGCCTCACTAGGTAAGGGGGAAAAATTTTTAGCCATTCGAAAAATTTTGGGAGTACCTACTGTGAGGCAAGCAGTGTTCTGGAAACTGCAGCTAGCTGGATGAGCAAGACATACAGAGATTCTCTTCTTTTATACATTGCTTTATTGTTTGTTTATCTTACTACAAAAACAAAGCTTGTTACAAAATATCTGAAAATTATACAAACAAAAGAGGAGCATAAGTAGTATCAGTTTTGTTTCTGGCCAAATTGTTTTCATCCAGTCATTATTAGGAGCAGAAGAAAATACACTAAAATATTAATAGCCATTGTCTCTTCAGTTCATATAAATAGAAAAAATGCATGCATTTTAGAAAAATAAAGAGGAGTAATACAAATGAAGAGTTGTCTTAATGTGGTAAAATTCTAAGTAATTTCTCTTAAAATTGTTTAGGCTGGGCACGGTGGCTCATGCCTGTAATCCCAGCACTTCAGGAGGCCGAGGCGGGCAGATCACCTGAGGTCAGGAGTTCGAGATCAGCCTGACTAACATGGAGAAACCCTTTCTCTACTAAAAATACAAAATTAGCCGGGCGTGGTGGCGCATGCCTGTAGTCCCAGCTACTCGGGAGAGGCGGGAGAATTGCTTGAACCCAGGAGGTGGAGGTTTCGGTGAGCCGAGATTGCGTCATGGCACTCCAGCCTGGGCAACAAAAGTGAAACTTGGTCTCAGAAATAAATAAATAAATAAATAAATAAAATAAAATATTGTGTAATGCAATTGTGCGAGAGGGAGTTGAAGGAAAATTATTATAATAGAAAACACACTGTACATCTTTGAAATTGTACTTTATTTTCATTTACTACTGTGAAGTGAAGTAACTGTTTTATACTTACAAATGAATGTGTTAATATGCAACCTTTGTGGAGTGTCCCTCTAGATTTCTAAAAGACCAACTTACCTTGTCGCTAGCTGTTGAGGTTAAGCCACTTGAGCTCTGCAATGGGGACAGTGAATAAAGGAAATGACCTAGACCACAATTGCTGAGCCTTAGACTTAGAATCACTGGGGCGTGGTAAATAAATATTTGTCAGACGAAAAATAATGAACAAGAAACTCCTCTTGGGCTTGTCCCAATCCATAAGCAGCAATGAAAAAGTTTAGCATGTAAACCTCTGTTTTAAAATTTTATTTGTAACGGACATCACAATTGTAAATAATTTATGGGGTAAAATGTGATGTTTTGGTGTATGTTTACATTGTGAAATGATAAAATCAAGATAATTAACAAATTCATCACCTCTCACACTCAACATTTTTTGTGGTGAACACATTTAAAATATACTCTTTCAGCAATTTTGTAATATATAACACATTACTATTTATTATAGTCACCATTTTGTAGAATAGATCCCTAAAGCTTATTTCTCCTAACTGTATAATCTTCTTGTAGACACATAGCCTTGAGTGTTTCACTCTGAGTACAATGTTCTTTTATTCAATGTTTTCATATACAATGCATTCTTATTTACTACTGAAGACCTCTTCTGAAGTTCATTGTAGTATACGTTTATTGTAATTGCTGGCCACCATCCATTCTTCTCCAGGAAACAGCGTGGTAGATTTCTTTCAAGT